AAACCGAACAGTTCTGTTTTTTTCTCGTCCTTAATTAATGCATAATAAACATTTATTAATGATTTATAAAGGGTTTGTAGATGAATTAATAACTTATCTATAAACCATTTATAAGCCATTTATAAAGGGAGTCTTATTGTAAAGTGGTACCATAATTTGATATTTGGTATACAGTAGTTTTACATTTAGCTTTAATTACTCTTCTTTAAGTTAATTCCTTAGCTGAGCTAAACATAATTTTATGTTTTGTATATAAAATTGGTTAACTTTATATTTTGTAGTTTTTGGTTTTGATGAAGTCTCTCTGGAAATTGTCTTTTTGCTTCATATTTGCCGAACTGAGAACAAAAAACAAGATAAATAGATTATTAGGCCTTCAGCTCATAAATATAGTCTTCAGAGGGTTACCTAGGACAACCAAAAAAAACCCGATAAGTCAAGTTTGTAGCTCAGGGAGTTATAAAAAAAACAAACAAGCACAGAATAAATGCCACCTTTAAAAGCATCAATCCCAGTGGAAYTGAATAAGAAACTGTAGACTGAAGGCTGCTGTGACCCTCAAATACATCCACACAGTAAGGAGAAATAGAAGAGTAATTTCTCAAATGATAGGGAAAAAAAACTTGACAAAAATAGCATTCCCTTTTGATTTACGGTCTGCATATCTGCAAATCAGTGCCATACTGTGTGAACGTGGTCCAGCAGCTACATACTGACTCAAAACCACCAGAATGCCACAGCATACGGTGGCGTCTTCACAGCCAAACAAACYGCCGCCGCCTACATCATCCACGGCCTCTTAATGACGATTGCCGCGATGCGTGACAGACGCTGCTGTCCATTAACTTCTCCCTGACCCTGAAACAATGCCCACTGCACAGAGCTCACAGATGATGATTTCAATGACCTGCAGAAAAGGAGTGAAGCTTGTTTTGAAGTGACTGTGTTTAATGATCTGGAGGGAAAATCTAGCTGCTGGTTTGAGACGTATTACAAACTTATCTGAAACAGTTTTTCAAACCTATAAATGTCTTTAGTTTGAAAAACTGGAACAGTGCTAATACACTTCAAAACAAACCAGCCAAAAAACAAACAAAGCATAATTTCTCTGGATCTTTTCTGGCTTGGTCCAGAATAACCCAACAGGTTTCTGTTTTGGCAACTTCTTTGTTGTGTAAATTTAAGGTGCAATCTTTAAAATACAAGTTGTTCATTATACTGTATATTGTAGGTTTGTTATGATTTAAAGAATAAATGTCAAGAGTTCATACTATAGATGCTAGCATAATATTGACTGAATAAAGAACATATTTACTGTAGATCACAGTCCTTTTGGTACTCATATTATTATTTAGAATACAGGGCAGCAAATGTGGCCTCACATAGCATAAACCACCGTACAGAGGCCTTTTTCTTTTCAACAAGAGAACTTGTCACCCAGTGACACAGAGCTCTCTAATGTGCTTCTCGTTACAACATGAGGGCTTTATGGCAGAAAAATGCATCCGACTTTAGACTGACAAATATGGCATACCAGGGTCAGATCAGTTCAAACGGATGCAATAACAGAATATAAGGCGAAACATCGATTAAAAGACAAAATGAGGATTTGCAGTAATGTCACCTTGATGATGTTAGTGACAGTGTTTGATGCCAACATCTTTGCATATCAAACTTGTRGTGTTTAAAAGTTGTGAGCTAACTTTTTTAAAACTATAAAGTTAACAGAGTGGCTTGAAGTGTTGCTGTACGAAATTCTTATCATTCAGACGAAAAAGATCGAATGTTTTCTAAAAGAAGATGGACGGCAGCTGTGAAGAAAAAATGGAGGCTTAGGGGCCCTAATTACCCCTAACAAGCAACCAGCATTTCATATCAGGAACATATACAGGGGTTAGACAATGAAACTGAAACACCTGGTTTTACACCGACAGCTTCCTCTTGCATCCACAGTTAATCCTGTTGGATGTGGTTCTTGGTGGTATGCTGACATTACCCT